CGCTATGAGTCGGAAACGACTCGACGGCACATAACAATAACAACAATCTTGTCTATAAGAGATGAAGTAAAAAAAGGTTGGTTAGAGATCAAGGTGAGCAGTGAGTTTATTATGTTTATGGGAAGGTATAATTGAGAAGAGGGTCAGAATGATTCACAACTTGAAGAATGCAGTAAGTCGCCAAATCATTTGTGAAGAAAATGTTGAATTGTTATATGCTTTGGCATGAATATTTTAAGCAACAAAGAACTGAGTAGCATATAAAGGAAAGAAGGGGGAAAAAAAGAGATGGGGTAGAATTTGTCTCAAAACAATTTTATGGGGGAGCTCTGGCGGCCTAGAGGCAAGAAACTATACTGCAATCCCCGAGGTACGTGGTTTGAATTTACCAGATGCTCTGCTGGAGAAGGAGGGGAAATCTCCTCCTGTACCAGTCAAATCTGATTTGATGGTATACACAAAATATAATAAAATAAAATTTAAAAAAAACCTGGGAACCAAAACAGTATAACATAGAGCCTTTTCCTCTGCTCGTCTCTCTCTGTGCCAAATCCTGTATTCTTTTATAGGCTTTGAAGGCTTGTTTGGTCTCACCTGAGCATTTATTCTATTTCCATAGGATGGTGCTACAATCTCTGGGTGTTGCAAATAGTCAACATTAGCCTGATAAATAAGAGGGTAGGGGTTTAAGTCAATCCAGTGATATTTCTGAAGAAAAGATTGGGTACCATATTAAAAAAAAATAATCCTCCTCTGAATAATAAGCTATAGAGCAGCAGCCTACGTTAACACATAGAGGATTTCCATAATTAAATTTAACTTGACTGCAACTATTGATTTTAGCAATGAACCAAGGAATAAACAAAAAGTAGCTTAAAAATTCACTCTTCAAAGTAAAGATTCAGGGAAAAAAAGTAGAGAAGATGAGAGTTACCTAGTCTGGTGGCCTTTTCATCTAATTGAAAGGCTAACTCAGCTAAAAATAAACGTACTGAAAAGTATGTCTTAAAATATGTTGAGATTACTGGGTTGAGGTTAAGTTTATTGTTAAACTTTAATTGAATCTTCATTTGAGTGCTTAGTTGAAAGGAAGAAAATGGAAAGTTGTGTTTGGGAGATTATTTCTTTTCATACCTCAAAGTTAACCATAAAAGAGTGGCTTATTTTTTGCCCCCAAGCACAATTTCTATTCTGCTCCTAAAATGAAATTGCATCCAAAAAGTTGTTTAAAAATTAAAATAGAAAAGAAAAATTACTGTATTAATCTTTAACTGTAGAATTAAAAACATCTGAAAATCATAGAAAAAATAAATTTTTAACTAGTTTCATGTTAAGATGGATATAGAAAAATCTTTAATAGAAAATAATGGTGGAACTTGATTTTTAAATTAACAGATCTGTTTTGTTTATTTGCATATAGGCATGTCCAATTTATAACTATGATTGTACTATAAATTTGAAGATAATAATCATGAATACTTGTGAAAAAACAAAGTTTCTGCAAATGGGCCATCATTGCTGTGTGACTTTCTGTATTTCTGATTGTATTGATTAGTAAAAAAAAAAGGAAATGAATTAGAAACGTATCACATTGGATACGTTTTTAAGAAGAAACTTTTCATATGGTATTTTTACTATTTTAGTGTTATATTTTGGCTATTTTCTCTTGTGACTATCATATGAATAAGACATAAAGTTTGTCTTTATTCAGATATTACTGCTATTGATGACAAAATGCTCATCTATAAATGATAATATTGAATCAGACTCATGAGATAGCAGAGATTAAAGAAACAGATCATCCAAACAGAAATATGTTTGGATGCTTATAGACAGGCTGAATATTTGAAATACTCAACCAATTTTCAAGCTACAAGACTCTGCCATGTAGATTATGCCAGGTCCTCAACGTGGCTCTTAGAAAAGCCTGACTTTGAGGAATGACATCACAGCATCAGTCCAGACTGATCTGCTGGCATCATGGCTTCCTAGAAGAGACAATGTTTCCTGTGGCAACATTACAACATGGTAACTCCCTAGAAGTCAGCGTACCTTGTAGGTAACTCTGGTGTCGGGGGCACCACCGGGCAGCTGGGCAAGTCGGTAATTTCAATAGCCCTCAATCTCTAATATAAATATAACAATCATACAGTAAATATTGTACAAATAAACACATAAAATCTAAATCAAAGTAGCACAAAATAGAGCATGAAAGAGTTATTACCCAAATTAACTGTTTTTAACAATCCATTTTTTTTTTCAGTGAGTAATTCTGCACTATAATTCTTTATTGAAGGACACATGTATATCTTATCTATTTAAGGATGCCGTTTTGGAACAATTTTGCAGCAACAATTTTCGCTTCACCTGAAAGTATAGTTTTACAAGGAACAGAAACACGTAAAATCACAGAACAAGTATTTTTCTTCAAAAGAATATACCAGAAATATGTAGTAATTCTTGTTCTGTTTTCCCTTCTACCTTATTTCTACACTATAAGGCAAAACATGATGTGGTTATTGTCTTATTTTACATATATTGTGTGCTTTTTCTTAAAAGCGCCAAAAGCCAGAACCAATTTAAGAAATGGTGTAAAATACAGTGCAAACACAGATGACTCCCCTGTCCCATGTTATGCCTATTAATGGTTTAGGATAGGACAAGTTTCACATGTGTTGTTCATAGGGTAGCTATGAGTCATAGATAACTTGATGGCACCTAACAACAACAATGCAACTAACACAACTTCTTTTTTAAATAAGTTTAATGAAACCAGTATGTAAGGACTGTTTCAAAGCTTATAGTTAGACCACCTGGTGTGACTGAGTTTATTCTGACCCATAGCAATCCTTTAGGACAGAGTGAAATTACCCCAAAGAGTCTTCAAAGCTCCTCTTTGTGGAACCAGATTGGCACATTTTCTCCAGGGGAGCCACAAGTAGACTTGAACTACCAGCTTAGCAGCCAAGCAAATTAACTATGCCACCAGAGTCACTTAAAATACTAGCAAGGCTTTCCATATATGTACGAGATGTGAACTAAATGAAGCTTTATGTGGATTTTAATATCTGCACTGATAGGCAAGGCTTTTTGTCGCCCTATTAAAAGGTCCCTTTATGCCTGAAGATGTAATTTACATAATGAATGCATCTACTTAGAAGCCCAGGGGCTGAGCTGGAAAGGGGAATTCATCTGATTTCTAAAACTGGCATTATTAAATGAAAAGGGAATTCATCTGATTTCTAAAACTGGTATTATTGAGTAGGGCATGTATTTAGTTTACTTGTTTTTCCTCAGCATAATACATAAAAATCCATATTTATAAGGCATTTGATAATTTATGAGATTGTATTTTAGGAAGTCTCTGTTTAATAGAAATGCAATGCAGTTATGTTGAAAATAGGTGTGACCATGAAATGCAGAGAAAACTAGTAACAAAATAATACTGTTTTAGTATAAGAGGACCAAATCACTATTAAATTAGACTTTTTAAATTCTCCTCCAAAGTAGCAAGTTGATTTATCTAGAGTAAATTGCAGTCATCATGGGAGAACAGGGAAAGATTGAAACTCACTTTCTCAGCCATTTCATGAGAATGATGCAGCGAATGTTCCCTTTCCGAGAACATCCTTCTCTGTTCATAGCTGGCTAGTCGACAGGTGAGCCATGAAGAGAGGGTGCAGCCCCCGATCCCAATGCACGCCAGGGACATGGAGGCGACGTGCAGAGGGTACAGGGACGAGGTCTTCTTTGTGACTGCCCGAAGGAACTGAAAATTCAGGATGCCCCCAATGAGTCCGCAGATACAGCAGGCTGAAAAAAGGATCATCTGGTAAGGAAAAGAAAAGAGTGTTAGAATAGAGGAGGTCGAGCTGATCAGACCAGAAATACACTCCGGGCTGCTAGTCAAGGAAGACTGGTGCTTAGTAAGGAGATGGCCCAGTGAGTGCTTCATGGACTGTAGGAGCTACCCTTAGCTCTTGTTTCTGTCCATTCTTACTATTGGGGAGACGGTAGTCCACAGGGTTTCTGGATCTGATAGGTAACTATATTAAAACCAAGAAAATGCTTTATGAATACTTTGAAGTATTCAAATATAATTTCTGTATAGATTCAAATTTAAGGATATTTACTTAATAATTACTCTGCAATACTCTAAGGAATTTGGTGGCACAATATTTAAGCACTCAGCTGTTAACAGAGAGATTAAGCAGCTCTAACCCACTAGGAGAGAAGAACAGGCTATATTCTCTTCTAATTATTTCAAGCTAGGAAACCCTGCAAGCAAAGCTCTATTTTACCCTATCTGGGTTTTTGTTGTTTTGGTTTTTTTTTTTTAAGTTGGAATCCACTAGAGGGCACTCAACAACAACGACGTGCTACTACAGGAACGCCTGAGTGACAAAAGTTGCTTAATTGCTCTGCTATTAATGGAAAGAGTTACACTATTAACTGAAAAGTTGGTGGTTTGAACCCAGTCGGGGCACCTTGGAAGAGCTATCCGGCACTTTCTTCTAAAAAGGTCACAGATACAAAAACTCTATGGATCTCAGTTCTACTCTGAAGAACACGCTATAGTCTAGTGTTGAAATCCATTGAGCAAATACATAGTAGTTAGTAACCTATTACTGTGCTAGAAATTTTAACAGATAATTTATTTTATCTTAATTACTTCTCCAAATAATCTTCTGAGAAAGATGAAGATAAAGATTTTTGGGGGAAAAGTTATGGTAAGAAATCAACATTAAAATTTAGAGACAACTTGGATTTTCTGACTTTGAATCAAGTAATCATCATAATATGTAAATATCTTCTCATTAAACTATCATAAATGCCAGCTAGCTTTAAATCTTTATACCTCCCTATGGAGGAAGCTCTGGTGGCCTACTCCAGAGGGAGTCTCACTATGAATCCAAAGGCCATGCCTCTCTGGCTCTTTAAACCCATTAACTGATCTTTGGGATAGAAAGATGAGCAGTCTCCTCCCAGTGATTCACCCTCAGAAACCTGCTGGAGGGTCAGCTATGAGTCAGTTCTGATTTCATGGCAATGAGAGAGAAAGGGCTATGTGAGGTATAAAAGCTTAGAAAACCTAGTGGTTTGGGTTTTTTTTTAAATTATTATTTTTTTTACATTCATTAAGTATGTGTTGTGTGTGTGCGTGTGTGTGTGTTTGTGTATTTCTTTAACAGGTAGCTTAGATTCTATCTCACACTATTTTGTTACTCTATGGTACCACATGGAAAAATACACAGCAGGTGTTCCATAAACACTTTTGATAGTCTTTTTTTTTTTTTTTGAGAAACACAGGATGTGGCTTTCCTTTTGATCTTACCATTGGTTTGATCTGGGTCTCTAATAATAGAACCAGAGAGCTTTAGTAAACTGAAATATCATAGGATTCCCTGCAGAAGCAAGTACAAAGCTTTCTGTGTAGTAAAGGTTCTGTAAATATATAATAGATTTAATTAACTATTTCACTGACTTTAAAAATTTTATTTTGTTTTTTACATTACAAAAATAAATTTTATCTCATGATATTTTAAAGCTATTATGATGCTAGCTTAATTATCTAGTCTTGTATTTATTTTTCTCTGTAACACAGCTTCTACTTCAGTCACTTCTCTTACAGCTCATTGGTATAGCTTGCTCCATGTCACCTCATTGATATTTATCTTTTCCTAGAAATAATATTGTTTATTCCCTGAACTTCTACATAAAGTCCAAATCAAGTGTGAATTTTTCATTACTTCTTAAGGGTATAGTTCTTTTATTAACATGAAGACATCATTCTCATCTGGGAATGAAAACACTCAGTGGACTTGGAGGGAGGGATTGTATAACAATGAAAAAAAAAATTTCTTTTACTTTTCAAAGAGAAGAGCAAACTAGGGGGGAGAGGTGGGCAGGGAGAAAAGTGTAACAATGAATCAATGGAAATCCCAAGTTTCTGTAAATTTTCATTAAAATGAATAACAATAATACAAAAAGGAAAAAAAAACCAAAACACTAAGATCTGTAGCCAAGAACCCATAGTATGGTCAATTCTCACTAGGTTGAAGATTCTGGATCCCAAGGATGGTTGGCGTAAACAAGTCTTACATAATCTGATTAAAGTGTAGAACACTCTTCATAACTTAATGCTGTGTATAGAATCCTCAGGGGTAAAGGACGATAAAGTGGGAGGTCATTTCTAGAAAGTTCAAATCTTATTTTTATATTTTCTTGTATAGTTTCAAAAAGATTTGCTGGTGGATACTAGTGGGCCAATTTTAATTCGTGACAACTCAATGTGTATAGAATAGAACTAACCTCTCCAGGCTGTGACCTTTCTGAAATAGATTACGAGGCCTTTCTTCATTTCTGAGTGGAATCAAGCTGCCAACTTCTCAACTACTAGTTGAGTGCTTATGTTTATGTCACCAAGAGACCCAAGATAGAAAAGAGCAACTAATTAGACTTTTTGTAAAAAAAAAACAAAAAAAAAAAAACAACTTTGTCTTTCTTCCTGTCTTCTGTTCTCTAGTCTCTTTTTTATTTCTTTCTGCAGTTCTGAAAAGTATTGCTAAAATAACCATACTGAATCTTGATAGAGGAAGAATGTAGAAAAAATGGGACAAGTATAATGGGGTGAGGATAAAATCACAGATGCAAATTACTATGCTCTAAGCAATTTTTCCCCTTCGATTCTTTTTGTCCATTTATGTCACTACACACAGAAACTATATCCTATGTGATAGATTATCTAAAATAATGGAACATTAATTCTTTTAATCACAGTGAATATTCTCACAGAGGACTGGATCAGAAAAATTAACAACAACCAAAAATTCCCTCTCCATTTCTTGCCCTCTTAGTTGTATGGCCTCCTCTTGGGAAACTCTTTTTTTCAGGAGAAAGATCGCTTTCCAGAGTTCATGTGCAGTATTACATTTGCTGATTTGTAAATGTCTATGATCTCTCCACAGTTTGTTGTTGTTAGGTGCTATCAAGTTGGCTATGACTCAATAGAGACCATAAGAAGAACAGATTGGAAGCTTTTCCTATCTTGTACCATGGTCACAATCTCCATCTGCTTCATGTCAAATGCATGACTCACTATCTTATTAGACTCAAGTTAATAATGGTGCAGAGTCCAAGTCCTTCCAAAATACCAAAGAAGGCAGTGGGACATCCATAAGAAAGCAGGCAGAATTTCTCCTGCTGTCAAGATGAGCAGACGCTGGCAATGGATTCTTTACTCTTGAACCACATCCTTGTTGCACGGAACATCTGTGAACATTTTAGGCGATCCGTTCATGGTTAAAAAGAAAATTGTAAAAAGCTTCTCAAGAATTAACTGCAACCACAATGGCACAGCTGCCTTGTTACTCTGCCTAAATTAGCTTTACAGTCAAAGAAGGCTAGTAATCTTCAGACCTCATTCCATATTTAGTCACTTAAATATTCTATAAACTGAATCTATGCTTTATTGAAGGATTAATAAGATTGTTTGGGAAATGATAAACTGTAATACTGGAGACTCTCGCATCCACAGGAGTAATGAAGAGCTACACATTTATGACATTCAAAGAGCACATCAAAGTTTCCCTTTTTGTTATGGCTTCTAATAATCATGATGGTTTTCTTAGAAAACAAGAAAGCCAGGATTGAACTGTCAGTCTTTTTTCTATCCTAAACCAGTAATACTCAGCATAGGAAAATTGGCTTGTCAGCATTTCTGGTTTTGAGTTCTTACATTTCAAATACTTTCATGCACAATGCAAGCAAGGCAGAAACTTACGACAAGTCCAGATTTCTTTTTGGCACACAGTATTCCACATACGCCACAAAGAAGAAACTGCAAAGGAGAAGAAGAACACATTATCTCTCATTCAAAGGAAACAAGTCCCCTAGACTTGAGCTTACAGTTCATTCATGACATTTACTCTGACGAAGTAAAGATTTTGCTTTCTTCTATACTATTGATGAAATAATAATTTTGGGAACTTTTATTCCTCCTGGGTTTTTGTTCCAACAAAAGAGTCAAAGGAAAATATTTTCTTTTAAAAAAATGTAAACTTGAGGAAAAACACCTTCTTGATAAATTTGGCATAGGCAATTGGAGGATTTAAACAAAGCTGGATTCCGTTTTAAGAGCAGGCAAAACTATGAAGTAAGTGAATGCTCCCCTGCCCCACACTTACCATCTTTTTATCTGGCTTAGTGGTAAGGAGTTGCGCTGCCAACCCCAAAGCATGTGATTCAAATCTTGTTGTACAAGAAGATGGGCAATCTCCTTCTATGCAATTAACTGCCTCTATAAACCCACTGGAGGGTCCGCTATGAGTCGGTCTGACTCGATGGTATGCAGCAACTACAACTTTCTTATTGAGGAAAAGTGGTGTGATGCATTTATTCACAGAAAGTTATTAGAAAATAACGGGTAGGGAACCTAAATGTAATGAAAAGCCAGGCAGGAGGATGTTTTAGTATATAAAACATACTTTGTGCCATTCAAACTGTGCCAAGCAGAATCACAATCTCTTTATCCCACCACAAACATTGCTTTGGCTCATAACTTGAAAGAAAACAAATTCTTGATGACACATTATTTGCTCTGAATTCAAGCAACAGTGATATAATTTCTCTGTAAAAGCAATTAGCTAATTCAGTAATGACAGACTTGTAGAGATTTTGATGATAACTTCTTTAATTTAGATAGAAGTACATAAGATCATTTGAATGAAAAATTGTATACACTTTTGACTTGGGATGATTCACATGACCCTAGGAAGAACAAAGATATCTTGCCTATCCAGCAGCATTTTCACAGTCTCTACCATTCTCAAGATCACTGTGGGACTTGCTGTGTCAATTCATCTTGCTGAGGGTCTTTCTTTCTTTCACTGACCCTATATTTTTCAAGCTTATCATCTTTTTCTAAGGACTATTGTTGTTGATTGCCTTTAAGTCAAGCATGACTCATAGTGACACTATGAACAAAAGGCCTGAAGCCTCTTTACAACTATGGACATTTATCAAAGTTCATAGAGTTTCTGGAGGCAAGTTGTTTAGGAAGTGGATGCCACTAGCCCCTCATATTCCCAAAGTGCGTGAGATGACGTTTTATCATCCTAGCCTCTAAGGAGTGCCATGGCTGCACTTCCTCCAAGGTAGATTTACTTATTCTTTTGGCAGTCTATCATCTAATCAGTGCTCTGCTCCAACACCATGATTCTTCTTCACTTTTCCTTATTCAAATTCCAACTTTCAGATGCATATGAAACAATTGAAAATACCATAAGGTTGGGTTAAGTGTTTCCTGTTTTTTTTAAAACTTACCTCTTTGCTCTTCCCCCCCGCCCCAAATTTTGGACCTATGATAAACTATATAAATAAGACAATAAAGTAGTTAATAAGGAACAGCCCATTGAGGGTTTCTAAATTTGCCAAGAAATCTTGAATGTGACTAAGCTTATTTCAATTTGAAAGCAAAATTTAAATTTAATTTTGCTATCTCATGTAAAAAATGGAAATATACTCTGTGTGTGTGTGTGTGTCTACCATCGAATTGAATCCAACTGGCAGAGGAGGAGATTGCCCCTCCTTCTCTGGCAGAGCTTCTAGTGGATTCAAACCACGAGCCTTTGGATTGCAGTGCAGCTTCTTGCCACTAGGCCACCAGAGCTTCCCTGGAAATATACTTTTACCTAAATATTGCATGCCTCATTGTATCTTTGAAAAATACAAATAAGAATATTCTAAGGCATTTTTCCTTAAAAGGATAAAATTATTCCAAAAAGGTGTCACAGTGCAGAAAGGTAGTTAAATTGAAAGGTGCTCCAAGAATTTAACTATTTTGGTGTATAAAGAAGATAAAACTTCAAATTAATTAGAAGAAGATCAGGTCACTTATTCCAATTTAATTAGTGAAGTTAAAAATATTTGTTAATCTTCCTGAGAGACTAATATTACAATGAGTGTGAAAGAGTTTGAAAAGAAAATAAATTTTTTAAAAATTGTAGATATAGTAGGAACAATCTACTTGATTTTAGAGGGGTGGGGAAGATTTCCTAATCTAGCCAAAAAGAAATTAGAATTCTGTTTAAAATACATCTTATAAGCAAAAGATTTGCTTACCATGTATATAGAGATCTAAAAAAATATTTTTAAACCATAAAAATGAGGAAATAGAAATTTAGAACTTTATAACTTGAAAGTTAACATAATTTTCACAAAACTTATGAACTTACTTCTCAGTAACCATTTCTTGCCACTCTCTGTATCCTAGATTCATATGAACTTGTCTTCATATAACTTCTTCTTCAATGATCCTATTTCACATCTTCTAAAGTTACACTCCTTAGCTTAAACCAATTATTTTTTCTTTATCTTTGTTTTCTTTATTAACTTTTTGGCAAAACTTTGCAATTTATGTTGTTTTTTTCATTTAATAATTCACATACAATTTATTTTTAAGATGCATTATTATTTTATAATATTTATTCACATAATTAATAAATCATAATATCTGACCACTTTATTTTTATTGCATTTCTCTTCATGCAATTTATATATGGATTGGAGATTTTTTTGGAGGAGGAAGGGGAAGGGATTAAAATGAGTGAATGATTTATAAACTTTCACTTAAAAAAAGCTTTAATAAAGAAAAAAAGAAATGCATGAGCATGACCTAGATTCATTAATTTTAATCCTTTCTCCTGCTCACCAACATTCATCTGTCAGTTTGCCTTAGGGGCTTGCATGTTCCTATAATGCTGGAAGCTACAACACCTATATTTCAAAAACCAACAAGGTCATCAGTGGTGGAACAGATTTTCCATACTAAGAAGCAGGACTGGCTATACATGTCTGAAATACCAAGAATTTGAAAACCCTAGGTGATCACTTGCTGTGCATAAGAAAGCTGAACAATGACTAGGGATGATAGGAGAATTAATGCTGTTGAGCTGTGGTGCTAGAGAAGAGTATTGAGTATACCATCGACTGCTAGGAGAACAAAACAGGTTCACCCTCGAGAGGGTAAGATCAGGCTACTCCTTGGAGGCAAGGATTCTGAAGCTTTGTCTGACATACTTTGGACATGTTGCAAGGCAGGATGGGTCCTTGGAGAGGGACATCATGATTGGGAGGGTGAAGGGACAGCGAGAGAGAGGAAGATCCTTGATGAGCTGGATTGATTCAGTGACTGGGGTAATGGGGGTAGTTGTGTCAGAGACAATAAGATTGACACAGGATAGAGCAGGGTTTAAGGCTTGTTGTATGTAAGGTCACTATGAATTGCAGGTGACTCAATGGCACATAACAATGACAACAGGAATAATAGAAGAACATTGTTGTATGTACTGTCAGAAGATGAGTTCCTCAGGTTGAAAGACACACAAAATGAGGATGGAGACAAACAGCTTCTGTAAAGTAGAGTGTTGATACTCTTGAGAAGTGATGTTGGAGAAGGATACAGAAGGTCCCATGGACTGCCAAAAGAACAAATCCATATGTCTTGGAGAAGGTCCAACCAGGATACTCTTTAGTGAAACTTCATTTTAAATAATTTGCACATGATGTTAGAAGGGCCTAGTCCTTGGAAAATGACATTGTGCTCGGGAAAGTGGAGGGTCATGAAGGAGGGGAAGACCCTTATCAAGATAGGCTGACATAGTGACTGCAACAATGATCTCAAGTGTAGCCAGGTGATGAGGACGGCACAGAGTAGGACAGGGTCCAGATCAACTGTTCATAGAGTTGATGTGAGTCATAGCCACAGCACCTACCAACAACAACAACAGCAACATAATGACTCAGATGGAATAAACTTTTCACTCAGTGAAAGATTCAATGATGCTTTGTAACTCACAAAAAAGGACAACATTTTCAGTCATTCGTTAATTAAAATATGGAATGTATGAAATGTGAATCTAGAAAAACTGGAAGTTGTAAAAAAAAAAAAAAA